TTTTTTTTTTTTTTTTTTTTTTTTTTGGATAAAGGTATATTAAAGAAAAATGTCCCATAAAAAATTCAGAAATATAAGCATATCTATATCTTCCTACTCACCTGGCAATAACCCCCCACAGAAAAGGCAGGGGTCGGTCCCCCCCGACCCCCGCCGGAAGGATATGTAGCAGAATTCCTCCACCAGCCCAACCAATGAGAATCCAGCCTGAAGGCTAAGGCTTCAAGCTTCACCCCGTGTGCCTGTGTCTTTGTACTACCTTGGACAAAGGAAATTTGCAGGAGCATCAAGTAACCCATGAAACAAAAGGTTAGTCTCACAATATCTGCATACTCTTAATACTACAAGTACAAGATAAAACGTGGTACAGGTGACAATCAAAGTTCCCCAGCAGGGAAGAACTGGGGATTTGCTTATTTCCTCTCCAATAACACTTACCTTGCTGGCCCAGGCATCTTCATCCCAAGAAGTGAGTTGTAATACACGAATGATCTCGTTAATTTCAGCACTCATCTTTTCTACAGTAAAATTGCGATTTTTCAAAGCTTCTTCTATTCCTTGATTCTTAGAGTTTTTAGTTGTTACAAAAATCTTCATAGCTATAAAATGAACAAAAGGTCAGAAACTAAACTTGGAACTTAATCAATATTCACACAAGATATTCCACACTGTAAATATATATTTGGGGGGTTACAAGGTCTTAAAAGAATATATAAAACAAACATTGCAAATCTACCAATGAAGATCCAATTTCAGCAACTTTCATTACAAAGTACACATTAAGTAAGAAACAGCGCTACAATGTGAATAGGGAGCTGGTGAACTACATTCACACAGTGTCTACTATCCTCCTGTCATCCTGGGCCCTAACCCTGGCTCCATCCACTGGAAGCCTAAAGGGACAGAATGCAGAGCATCAACAGTATTCTGCTGCCCCTAACCCCAGCAGGAAACTCCAGAGAAACAAGGTTATCCTGGAGGATCTCTCTCAATATGTAGCAAAGACTTTTTAACCCTCACAAGTAAACAGTCATAATTAAAATGTAATAAACAAATATTAACCGTTTGAGTTACCCCGATTGGAAAGAAACTATCTTCGGAGCAACCTCTGCCACATAGGACAGTTGGCCTCAAAAATTATTTCCAGGGCTGGGGCTATAGCTCAGCGGTAGGGTCCTTGCCTACCATTATGCAAGGCCCTAGGTTCAGGCCCAGCACAACACAAAGAGGCAAAAAAACGTCACGTAAGGTTCCATTTACAAATATCTAGTGTATGTAAATGCTTTCTGGAACGCTTAGGTTCCTGTCTTTCTTAACTACTATTTGAAACACCAAATTAAATAACTGGGGCAACAGTGACACGCCTCTCATGATTTTAAAAATAAAGCTGCCCTCTCAAGAGTTAAACTAAGCCACAACTTGACCAAGATAATTACGTAAACCATACAGTGCTGGGCATACTAACACTGAGTAAGTGCAAATCACTTTTACTCTCTGAGAGAACAGTCATTATGTTTCTGGGCTCTGTCCAAGGGGAAGATAAAATGGTCCCAACTGGTGACCACAGAACTGATATATTCATACATAACACTGAGGAATAGTTGAACATCTTTTAGGAAAAACTGTGCTAACACACACTGAAAAGGAAGCTTTATCATACAGTGCTCCGTAATAGCCATTCCAGCTCCTAATTATTTTTCTGTAATTCAAGGTTTGAAACTTCATTACCCATAACCAGAGGACATTTCCACCTCTCAGAAAAGATGTCATCAGAGCTTTACAGAGCATGGGGGCGGGGCACAGGAATTTCAACAAAGAGTAGGCAGAGGACAGCACTAGGGAAGATGAGACCGGTTCTGAGCCAGTCAGCTGCAGCCATCACGGAACACCCAGTCAATCAGATGTACTGAAGCAGCAAAGGAAAATGGACCTCAGAGTTTAGAACACAGTAACACATTTTCCCCTATAAAATAAACTATAGGGCCGGGAATTTAGCTCAGTGGTGCCACCGCCTACCTCGCAAGTGCAAGATCCCAAGTTCGATCCCCAGTAGGAGGAAAAAAAAAATTTTAACTACAAACAGGAAGTACCGGAAATGAGAACTGGAAGCAACTCTTTGACCGTGTTCATGGAGTTCACCAGCATTACTCGGTGCTCCTGGTGAGTCAACTCCTGCTGTCTCTCGTCAATCATCTTGGCCATCTTGGTCATTCCTGGGCACAGGGAAGAAATTGTTCAGGGTGAGCAGTGAAGCCAGAATCTGGCTTTCTCAGCCTAAATCCATTATTATTACTATGAAAGTCCAAACTGATTGCCCAGTTACTTAAAAAGCAGATGTGATCACTGAACTCTTGCATGTATGCAATTTTATTCTTTTGAACGCAAGTAACTTATTAAATGAAAATCCTAAGTATGGCATAATTCTAATCTATGTGATGTACTTACATTCATAAGCATTGAAATCTGAAATGAATAAATGCACATTTGTACAAAAATTAATTCACAAGTAGGAGGAAATATTTTGCCAGGTTACTGGGTGTACGTTTATACCATATCTGGCCACTGTGCTGTGCTATGTAAGAATCTCATGTGGGCCTTGTACTGAATACAGGGGCTGAGAAAAGCTCTAAGAATGACAATGACGTGTTTTGTTTTCATCTTTACATTTTTCTGTACTTTCCAGTTTGTCTAAAATAAGCACATACCACTTTTATAGTTAGAAACCAACAGACATATTATAAAAATAATTACAGTGATGACAGTGTTTGCAAGCATCTGGTGTTTTGGAATTGGCCTGACACTTTTTGTTTACTTTGGTTATTATTCAAAGGTGCTATATGATTTTGTGAAGCTCTGATTTTTCAAATTGCTCCTAGGATTTCTTAAATTGTCTTGGAGACAACTGTTAAGACTGAAAGGAGATTGCTAACGGGTGGGGCTGTTCCTACTTCACCCAGAGCAGCTTCATTTTATGTTTTATATCTTGGGATCCTACATAAAATTCCATTTGGGGAAACAACTTCCCCCCACCCCCAGGGCTATGAGAAAGCTTAAAGAGCACAGCTCTGAAATTATCAAGGAAAGCTATTTCCAGGTGCATTTCAGCAATGGCTCAGGAAAATCCTTAATGCTATGAAGTTTACAGAACAACTACACCACAGGCTCATACTGTTAAGTAAAAAGTCAACATTTCACATAAAACAAAAGAATTTTATATGGTGATAAACCTCAAATCAAGTTAAATGCCCAGTATATCCTCCAGCGGTCTCATTCATACTTTAAGGACTCTCCAGGTCATTTGACACATCTATAACAGCAGAAGCTGGCATCTGTGGTATTTTGAATATATAATATTCAGATGCTTAAACAAGCATTTCAGAATGAGACAAACACAGCAGCTCTTCCCTCCTGTGTCTGATTATATGATGCAGCCTCGAGCTAAGGCATGAATCCATAATGGTCAGCAGGGTAATTAGCAAGTGAAGAGGTCATAAGAGTTACAGACAGTGAAGGAATACTCTGTGATGCAGAATGGGGAGAGTGGTCAGGATTCAGGGTAGCCTTCAGCATTACAGTAACAGAAAAGCATTTCCTATATTCCCCAGCAACATTTGCAATGTCTGCTTTAATTCACTTGACAGGGGCCAGGGATCTAGCTCAGTGGTGCCAAGCCTGCCTGGCAAGTGCAAGGCCCTGAGTTCAATTCCTGATATGGGGAGGGGATGCAAAAAAATTCACGTGACAGGATTAGGATTTGAAGAACACAGTCTGAGGTTTCAGAGATGATGACATGCCCTCAGTAGAAGCCTGGTGTCCGTTCTATCCAGACACCTGAAAGCCCAATGCATCAGCACCTATTTCAACAAAAGTGAAGGGCACCTTCTCCTCTTGATCCAACATCCATGAACATTTTATTATACTAAATTGGATATGACTCACCTGGCCCAAGATTCTTTGTATAAGTGACCAAATCTTCCATAGTCTCCACCACCTCTGCCACTGTAAGATATTCCAGAATTCCTTTGCAAACTCTAATAATTTTACGAACCTGAAAATATATTTCAGGGTATTTAGTCAAGTGAGGGAACAAGACACAGAAAGCACAGAAATATATGTTTTCAATCATCCATATTCCGTTATTATCTTTATTTGTTTGCTTGGTTTTTTTTTTTTTTTTGGTACCAGAGAACGAACTCAGGACCTTGCACCTGCAGGGCAGGAGGCAGACCCACTGAGCTAAATCCCCGGCCCCCATGAATATCTTTCTATCTGGAGGAATCTCTCTGCGAGGGCCTCAGATGGCCTACCTCAGCCTCATCGAAGGTCAGGAGCAGGTCTGACGTGCCGGAGAGGATGCCCCTGGACCCATCGATCAGGTAATCCCGAGCAGGCACGGAGTAGGGGTCTGACTGAAGCATCTGGGCTGCCTGCACGAGCTTGGTGCAAGCGTTCTCAACCCTGTGGGGAGAGCACAGGTTAAAATCTGGCAGAGCCTCCTGGGGGCCTATCCTATGCAAATGGAAATAATGCCAAGGCCTGTAAGTGTTTCGTTTTTCTTTCTTTCTTTTTGGCTAGTGAAGATAGTATTTTCAAATTTAACATCTGGGTAAAAATGCCAAAGCACTTTGTCAGTGAAATTCAATAAGCAGACAAACCAAATGAATGGGAAGAAACAAAAAAGCATGAAGTGATACACAGATTCCTCATTCAGGGCCTTTTTCAACAAATCCATTGGACCGTTTGGAAACGACCATATAAAACTATGTTGTTAAAGGATCGCTGAACCAGTTATTAATAGTTTAATATTATTATAGTTTAAAACAGACCACCAAATAGCCAAGGATTTAACAGAGAAACCCAAAAAGCATAAACCAAGTGTTCTCCTCGACCCTCCTACTGTACTAAAATGTACTCATTCACTCAATTATTCATCTATACAAAACTGAGAGAAAACTAAGTCATCTCCTTTAACCTCATATTTAATATATACCTTGTTATCACTGAAGACCTTTTTATTTTTGGTTTTTTGAGATAAGAGTCTCACTATGTAGTTCAAGCGGGCCTTGAACTCACCCTGTAGCCCAACCTGGCCTCCAACTTGGGCAGTCCTGCCTCAGCCTCCAGAGTGCTGGGATCAAAGCACCACAATGCCCAGCCAGTATTGCTAAGAAGAATTAAGTCAACAGGAATTTCAACTACAGGCATTCCTCATTTAATGCCCGAGATGCAGTCCTACAATGAGACTGTTAAATGAATTGGTCCCTAAATGAAGAATTATATACAGTATGTACAATATTAATAATACAGAAATGGTCAAAGGAAACTCCAACTTGATGACTTTGCTTTTATTTGCATAATGCTTACATGCAGCATTGCAATGTATAACAATATTAAACTACAGTACTGTACAGTACAATCAGCAAAAGTTATAGTACTGTATAAATAAGGGGTACTATACCAAAAAAAGATACAGAGGCTCAATAAACAAGATGCACAGACTGTACAATAAAAAAAAGACAGTTCATAAGCCTAAGCAGAAAGTAAGAGTCTGAACATTGTGCCTTTGTTGTTAAATCCAAACCTGTCATTAAACAAGCAGGTCATTAAACAAGGAATATCTGTACATAAAATGCACTGGAAGCTGGCATGGTGGTACACACCTATAATCCCAGCACTCTAGGAGGCTGAGGCAGGAGGATGACAAATTGGAGCCCAGCCTGGGCAACTTAGCAAGACACTGTCTCAAAAAATTCAAAGGAGGCCCAGGGGGTTTAAACACTCAGTGACCCTGCATCTGCCTCACAAGCACAAGGTCCTGAGTTCAATCTCCAGTATCGCAAGGGCTGGAGATTTAAGTTAATACAGAAGGCCTTGGGTTCTAACCCCAGTATGGGCACCGGGGTGGGGGATACACTGGGCTATAGAAACTGTATTGTATATAGAGGCATGAAAGGCACTATCCTATCTCCTCTCAGAAAGCACACTTTACAAAGCCAAAACACAAACATTGCAGGCTGAAGGCAGTACCTAACAAAAATTACTGCAAGGCAAGACCTATTTGCTACAGCTTTTCTGAAGTCTGAAGGGACTGGGTGCTTTGTTCTCTGGGATTTTTTTAAATTAGAATTTAACTTAATTTTAAATTATATGATATAAATATTCACATAAATTACGAAAACATATGTACATTTAAAACATAAAAAGGTACACAGACAGTAGAAAGCTTCCTTCCCTGAACAATCTTTAAGGCACTCAAATCCAATCCCATTTGCAACTAATACTGAGTTCCCTTCAGTGTTACGTCAATGTCTTCATAAGATATTTTAGGCATACAGACACAAATATATATATATATATATACACATACACACATACATATATATAATTTCCCCCTTTCTTTTTACACAAATAGTATCATACTATGCATACTCTGCATCTTGCTTTCACTTGGATATGTGCTATTACATGTACATAAAAAGCTGTTTCATTCTTTTCCACAGCTACACAGTAGTTCAGAGTTTGTGACTATGTAGGGTGCATTCCAGAACTGGAATTGCTGAGTCGATGATGCGGACAGTTGTAATTTTAATAAATGCTCCCCCGTTGCAGTCTGTAGAAGTTATACTCATTTACATTTCCATTACAATGAACGGGAGTACCAACACAGTTCTTACCATCTCACCAACTCAGTGTGTAATCAAACTTTCATATCTTCTCTAATGATACACCAAAAATGGTATCCACCCTTTTTTTTCATTCAAAGTGAAATTCATATAACATGCAAGGACTGCCATCACCATTTCCAAGGGTACAACTCAGGGGCTGGGGATTTAGCTCAGTGGTTCTGGCTCCTGCCTCACAAGTGCAAGGAACCAAGTTCAAACCCCAGTACCAAAAAAAAAAAAAAAAGGTACAATTCAGTAGCATTCAGTATTCACAATACTGTACTATGCAATCCCCACCCCTGACTACTGTCAAAACTTGTCATCTCAGTAAAACACCCAGCACTTACTAAGTAATTGCTCCCAATTCCCTCCTGCCTCCATCTCGTGATAACCTCTTATTCTGCTTTTAGTCTCTGGATCTGCCTATGTCATATAAGAGGATTGATGTATAAATTTTTTTTTTCCTCATTGAGTTTATTGGTACATTTTAGGTATACAGTACAATTACATTCATTACTGGGATCCTGTACCTTTACAAACACTTCATTTCCATTTTTTCATTTTCTCCTATTTTTTTCTTTTCCCTTATTACCTGTCCCCTCTAATGCTGCTATAAACATTCACAGACAAGTTTCACATTTTAAATTCTCTTGGGTACCTATCCAGGAGGGAAATGCTACTTGACATGGCAATCCTATGTTTTACTTTTTGAGAAACTGCCAAACTATTTCCAGGGCCTCGCCAAATGATACTCCCACCGGAAGTGTAAGAGTTTCTAATTCTCCACATCCTCACCACACTTACTACATTTTGTTTGGTTTTGTTCTTTGTTATTAAAGCTACCCTAATGAGTACGAAGTCCTATCTTAGTGTGGCTTTCATTTACATTTCCTTAATGACCAATGACAGTGAATGTCTTTTCACGTGCTTGTTCATTTTATATATATATATTTTTTAAGAAATGGGTATTCAAGTCCTTTGCCCATTTTTCTTTTTAGCTACCTTGTTGTTGACAAGTGTATTTATATAGGTTAAATATTAAACCCTCATCAGATAGAAAATTTGCAAATTTTTCACCCATTCTGTTGGCTGTCTTATTACTTGATTTAATTTTACTTTGCATTTCACTTTCATGAAGTTGGGATTTTTCGATATTTAAAACTATGTAGACCATACACATAAGAATTGTATGAACTTTAATTCAAAAGAAAACTTCTGTGAACTTTGATTCATTCATCTATGCACGATTATGCTTCAGAAATAAAATACCAAGTTTCTGAAACTCTACCATAAACAAATCCTCCTTCCTATTCTCCATACGTAACCAGTACTATGATGTCGAATTGTTTACTTGATTTTCTTTATACTTTTACCACCTGCCCATGTATATACACCTAAGTGACATATTGTTTAGTTTCCCCTGTACGGGGTACTTCACTTGAGTCGAATCATAATGCCATGCATGTTTCTGTGCCTGGTCTTTTTTTCCGGCTTATGACACTGATGTCATTCTTCCGGTCATGTTAGTAATTATGGCTACCGTGTCACATTCCACTGTGTGGATATCCCATAATTTATTTGCTCATTGTACTTTTTGTGGACATTAGAGTTGTTCTAGGTTACTGTGTTTGCTGCTGGTATTAATAAGAATGAGTAATATTCCTATGAATTGTCTCTTACTGGCCTCCAGTACACATGCACAGAGTTTAGGTTATATACCTTTCTTTGGAAGTATTAAGTTAAAGGAAATATCTACATTCAACTTGACCAGGGAATACCAAACTCTTCCAAAATGACTATCAACCTACTACTCCCACCAGTAGTGCTCTCAATTGATCCTCAATGTTGAACTTTTAAATTTGTCAATCTGTTCCATGTGAAATAATAAATTACTATGAATTTAATTTGTATTTTCTTTTACTAATGAGTTTGATTTTTTTGTACTTCCAGGTCCCATGAGTTTTGAGAGGCAAGTATTTTTATTACTCAGTTCTAAATAATTTTCATTATGATTTCTCTGACAATGAATTGTTTGGAAATTTACAAATACATGTACACCTCCAAATATAAGAGGCCCATTCAGGCATGGTGGCACACCTGTAATCCCAGCATTTGGGAAGCTGAGGCAGGAAGATCACCATGAGTTCAAGGCCAGACTAGACTACATAGCAAGACCCTTTCTCAAAAAGCCAAAAAACAAACTGGTACCAGGGATCAAACTCACATTCTCGTGCTTGCAAGGCAGGCAGTGGCACCAGTGAGCTAAATCCCTGGCCCTATCTTCTCCTTACTGATGTACTGCTCAAATGCACTGTATCCAAATGTGGTCTCTCCCCCGCTGCCCTTCCGACCCCCAACATTGAGGTTCTTTGTTGTACTTTTTGTTTTTTATGGTGCTAGGGATCAAACCCAAGACCTCATGCAAACTGGAAAGTGTGCACTACTGAGCCACACACCCAGATCACTTCTCTGTTTTCCTTATTGTTCTTTTCCCGTTACTATTTTAGAGGTTGTATATTCTACTTCTGTTGTTTTTGTGGCTAAGTAAATCAGTTAATGTTTTTAACTTCTTCCCAAACAACAGGAGGCTCTTAGGATTCTTATCATTTTCTGACATTTATGCTATTGTTTTTGTTTCATGTTTATGTTGTTTTTGTGTATGAAAAGTTACAAATTTTCATTTAAGCCTTTAAATTTTGTTAGGTGTTTCATTACATGTGACACAATAAAAATATATATATATTGATCTTTACCAGGTTCCTGGCACAGAGCTCCAGAAGCCCTTGGAATCTC